TGCAATGGTTTCGCATAAAGATTTTTATTTCGGTTTCTCATTTTTGTTATACAATTGAGTTGATTGGTCTGAAAATCATGCACCAGTTTCAGACCTCCATAAAACAGGATTAGGGTCCACCCTTTCACTAAGCCTGGGCCAAAAGCTACAGAAACAAGCACAGATCATCAGCGTACAGATTGACGTTGTCACTGTAACGACCAAGACACTTGGCTCCGACCACACCTGAGGGTCTGCAGCATTATTAAATATCTATTAATGTAATTCATATACTTTTTTTTTATCTAAAAACAGAATTAAAAATTTAAAAAGCGAGCAGCAGGGTACCAGTACTAGTACCAGTACTAGTACCAGTACTAGTACCAGTACCAGGGGATCTCTGGAAGGCTGACCCACAGCAGCTGACGTGTGTGTGTTTTTGTATGGCTGTGTGTTTGGCTGCTGCTTCATGTCAGTGGTTTTTGTATTTCTGGAAACCACTGAAGATGCATGTATTCTGACCCTGCCCTCATACAACGACATTTTGCATTTTTTTAAAGGCTAAGTAAGAGCTCTTATGTCCACAGTTTTCTTTCTGTTTTTACTGACTTATATATATATTCCGTCCACAGTGCACTTTACTCACGAGGAGGGAAACAGTGAAGGAGTGTGGACTTTATTTGCAGGTACTGACAGGTCGTCGTCTACTGTTTATCTACATCATGTATGTGTGTGTCCTTCACCACTGTCCTCCCTCTCCTCTCTGTAGATGTGTATCTGTGTGCTGTGGTCATCTGCTCGCTGGGACTGCTGTCCATCTTCTTCTTCAGTCTGGTCCTCACTTGCCAGTATTTTCACAAACGTCACAGACTCAAGAGTAAAACAGAATTATTCTCTGGATGATAACAATAATGATAACAACAACTTTAAACTGAAGTCTTCTCTAAATGTTGAACTTTTCTCCACAGCCAGTTACCTTCTCGTCAAATGTCCAGAGAGCAGGTACAGGTTTTCAATGGTTTTTGGACATTTTTTCAGCTTAATAATACATTTGTCATTAAAAAAAAAATCTAGGAACTATTGTTTGTTAGATATGAATTATTATTATTTTAATGATCATTATAGTAATTATCATTGCTTATGTACAATATAGAATTTTTACATTATTTAAAACGTTGATTTAATATAATAATTATTAATAAATTTATTTATTTATTTAATCTAAACAGCTCAGGAGAAACAGTGACGAGCTCCAGCAGTTCCTCCAGCTCCTCCCCAAAAACACAGAGGAGAGACCTGCGAGCCCACACTGACAGGGGGGTCACAATAACACCACCTAAACTACCTGTGGAGCCTCCACCACACATACCAGCCAAAGGTATGGAGAACATTTCTATTATATATACTTTTTATTTTATTGCCAGGGAGAGAGAGAAAAAAAAAACTTTATATGAACAACTATAATCTTATGTAACCGAGACGTTAGAAGTCAGACATGTGTTTTTCATTGTTTAACTTTCAAATTTCAGGTGTGGTTCAGGGGTTCTTAGAACAATATGTATTTTAAATGATAAAAATCATAAAAAACAACCTCTCTGGGAAGGAGTTGGTAATTTTCCCTTACATAAAGGAAACAAAAAGATTAATCAAACAAATGTACCGCAAACTGCACCTCTGTTTCTGCCAGAACAAAACAGTGAATTGGAAAATATAAAGGAAGCATTGAATCAAGGAACAGAGCTAATTCAAAAGCAAAAAGTAATATTCTCAGCTAATTAAATTTTAGTGACAAAACATCAGTGTAGAGACTGCTGGAAACCATAGAGCCAATTAAAAAACTTTATATTCTGTGTGACAATATACGGTGTGTGTATATGAAAATATAATATAATGATGAACAATAAACATTAACCCAACATGGCTAAAAGTTGGTACTGCACTCCTGCATGTTCTACCACGCTGGTCAGGAGGCCGTAAAATACATGAAATACAACCAGTCCAGAATTTGGTCCCTGAGCCAGACTTTGACCACAGCTGATCTAAGGTGACGACTGAGATTACCTTGACTTGACTGTGAGAAACACACTTGTTTGTGAAGTTACTTTCTTTTAGCCTCTGTTTTCAGTCCCCACGTTCGTCTCTGTTCCAGTGCCCATTCCTGCCAAAAGACCTCAGAAGCCCAGAAGGTTAAAGGCTCCGGCGAGGAGATCTGCTGCTGTGAGTCTCCTCCACCTCTTTTACTCCTATTTAGATACCAAAGTATTTTTTTTCTTCATTGAAACTCTCATCTTTGAGGACGTTACTGGGGGAACGTATCTCACGACTGCAGGATCGTCTACAGCAGTTTATTGCCTTCTCTTCATGGATAATTATATTTGGTTTTATTGCTTCTCAAACACAATTATTTATTCAGATTGCTTCATTGGGTTTATATCTACCATAAAAGTGTCAAACAAGTATATATAGAGAAGGAAAGTACTTCAAACTAAGGATCATTAGTAACTCTCTTGATGCCAGTCTTCTGCGTTTGTAGTGTAGTTTCAGCTCCAGAGATGTGAGCCTTTCTTGTGCTCCACCATGCTGAATAAATTAGTGAAACCAGAAGGATCTGGGGGAGATGAAAACTCTTTGTACCAAGTGGGTACACAGAGTGTTTTAGGAGGTCCAGCAGACCCTGTAAACACATACTTTCCTCTGTTTAGAAGGACTGCAGATTATTTACTGCAGAACATAAAACAACAATGCTTCTTAAGGAAGAACAAATGCAGACAGAGACGAGCACTGAGAGGATGTGGAACTCGTGCGTCTGGTCTCAGAGATGTTCCAACTCTCACGCACGCCATGCCCTTACAGTCAATGGTAAAAGCTCAGCCTTGTGATGTCTGCGAGTCGGTGTCTGTGTTTACTGTACCACATCATCACAGTTACAACAGTCAACAGTCTGAGTGAAGCTCCCCCACAGACGTTAACAACCAAACACTGGTGTCACCTAGAGTTTCATGGTCGGTTTAGATCAGTGGTACATGAGCGCTCTATAGTGGTACGTGGGGAAAATTAATATTTTCACATTTACATTTTCATTTGAATAAATCTGAAACATTTCATGCACAACATTAATACAACATTTAAACATAAACATCCTTCCAAACATTTATAAACATCTCTCCTGTGGTGGAAGCTAATAGAGAAGGCCTCTGCTGCTATGTTCTAATGTTGGTCATCATGGTGGTACTCAGAGAGATCAGTGTATAAAAAGTTTTGAGAACCGCTGTACTACACTAATAATAAAAATTTAAAAAAAATTCCAGTCACTGGTTCAGTTTAGTGTCGCTTGACCAAAATCAGTCTGTGGTCAGATGTCTGTTCAAAATCCAATGGCTACATACAGTCTCTCTGTTTCATGTCTGCAGAGAGATATTTGATCAAATAAATAGTTTACAATGACAAGTTATCAGAAAAAGGAGAATGGAGGTTCTGCCTCGTCTGAAATTCCCGTCTCTATTCATGTCAGTGGGAATGTTTGGCATTACCCGTGAGCTAACACTGGCCTCCCCCATTCCCTCCTCTCTCCAGCCTCGGGTTTCACAGGAGGACAGTCTGACATATGCAGAACTGGAGCTGGTGAGACCGAGGTCGGAGCCCCAGGCCTCCTCCAGCCCTGACCCCGCACCCTCCAGCCCGGACACAGTGTACGCTCAGATCCTGTTCCAGGAGAAACAGCTGTGAACACAGAGCAGCGCGGTACCTCCTGCGGTGAGGATTCGACTCTAACAACTCACCTAAAATGGGTTCACAAAAAAAAGAGACTATATTTAAGAATTACCAGTCAGACTTTGATATTTTTTGGCTGACTAGGTTACAGCTGCAGTTGATGAGGCCGTCGTGTTCCAGTTCAACACAACAGTTTCGGGTCTTGTCATTCGGTTGTTGTTTGTTGGCATCACAGGCCTGGGAGCCAGATGTTTGTGAGAATGTCATTACTGGTAACAGTTGTGTATAAACACAGGAGACTGTGTGCAGAGAATGTGGCCCAGGCTGTAGCTGCAGAGTCAGTGACAGCCAGCGTTTAAACTGCATTTATAATTATAGCTCTAATAAAAAAAATATATAAATTACGTCTGGGAGTCGTATTCAAATATGCACAAAATGCTGGTTTCAATCATGGGTTCAAAGTGGAATTGTCAAATGTGATAAAATGTGACTGGGGTCACAGGCCAGGTCTGTTTTAAATGACAGGAAAAAGACAGCGCTGTATTTGAAACAGCTGTGGCGCATTGAGCGCCTGACAGACAGGCGGAGAACTGTGATCTGAAACTGATTTTGAGAAGAAAACAGTTGAACAAAAACACGTTTGTTCTTTTGTCTGCGATGGTGAAATGGTTACTGTCATGTCACTGACGGTACATTAGCAACATGACAAACAGAACATTTGAATATGAACTGATGAATATTATAATCATACGCTGAGCTACAGCACAGGTTTTACCGTAGAACGGTGGTGTCAAACATACGGCCTGCGGACCAAAACCGGCTCGCTAGGGTGCTCAATTCGGCCCAATTGATGAATTTTAAAAATAAAAAAATACCCAAACACTTCATGTTGAGGATAGTTTTTTGTAAATATACACAGTGGGTCAAATAATACAAAAAATACTGGTAAATCTTTGAGGAGATAAAAGAAAACACAAAAGGGAGAGCGGAGGGGGTTAAAGTTTAGGGAGCACTATCTCAAAGTGCTGTGCCTCGGCACAATATAAAAGAGAAGGAAGTGCATTTTAAATTCCAGCCCTCGGAGGGTTAGACATAAACATGAATCCTGGAAACAGCAGGCATTAAAGCTCAGGCAGCCAAGAGAAGGTGAAGGGGCCGTCGTGTTCCAGTTCAACACAACAGTTTCGGGTCTTGTCATTCAGTTGTTGTTTGTTGGCATCACAGGCCTGGGAGCCAGATGTTTGTGAGAATGTCATTACTGGTAACAGTTGTGTATAAACACAGGAGACTGTGTGCAGAGAATGTGGCCCAGGCTGTAGCTGCAGAGTCAGTGACAGCCAGCGTTTAAACTGCATTTATAATTATAGCTCTAATAAAAAAAATATATAAATTACGTCTGGGAGTCGTATTCAAATATGCACAAAATGCTGGTTTCAATCATGGGTTCAAAGTGGAATTGTCAAATGTGATAAAATGTGACTGGGGTCACAGGCCAGGTCTGTTTTAAATGACAGGAAAAAGACAGCGCTGTATTTGAAACAGCTGTGGCGCATTGAGCGCCTGACAGACAGGCGGAGAACTGTGATCTGAAACTGATTTTGAGAAGAAAACAGTTGAACAAAAACACGTTTGTTCTTTTGTCTGCGATGGTGAAATGGTTACTGTCATGTCACTGACGGTACATTAGCAACATGACAAACAGAACATTTGAATATGAACTGATGAATATTATAATCATACGCTGAGCTACAGCACAGGTTTTACCGTAGAACGGTGGTGTCAAACATACGGCCTGCGGACCAAAACCGGCTCGCTAGGGTGCTCAATTCGGCCCAATTGATGAATTTTAAAAATAAAAAAATACCCAAACACTTCATGTTGAGGATAGTTTTTTGTAAATATACACAGTGGGTCAAATAATACAAAAAATACTGGTAAATCTTTGAGGAGATAAAAGAAAACACAAAAGGGAGAGCGGAGGGGGTTAAAGTTTAGGGAGCACTATCTCAAAGTGCTGTGCCTCGGCACAATATAAAAGAGAAGGAAGTGCATTTTAAATTCCAGCCCTCGGAGGGTTAGACATAAACATGAATCCTGGAAACAGCAGGCATTAAAGCTCAGGCAGCCAAGAGAAGGTGAAGGGTAGGAGCAATTTGTGAAGGTCACTGCGAATGTGAGAAAAATGGAATGAAGACGGAGACGCACGAGGAAGGACTGATGTCCGTCCGTTGACTTCTCTGTGTGAGTGGGAGAGACGGAGAGCCATCATCCCCCATAGTTCAGACTCACTGACTAGGATGAACCCACTAATGACTACATTTATTCAAATTAGACTAATTGTAATCATGGTTAATAATTAGCTTTACAGTGCAGTATAATTGGGTTAGGCTACAAGATGGTTCTGCCTAGGTGCAATAATTTATTTGATTTAATTATTCTGAGGAACCCGGCAGTTTGACATTTCACATCATAAAACCAGCGAGGTAGAGAGAATGGAGATGGCCGCTGCCTTTAGAGAAGGTCATTGCTCGCTCTCTGGGAAAATTATGAGGACTATTTTCCACTCTATTAAGCTACTCCACTTAGCACAATTAGCCGCACACACCGAGGTTAAAGAGAGAGACCTCCTGCTTTATGGTAGAGAACGGTGGTGCGTGAGTGGGACAGAAGTCTCAACAATCTCACTTATAAAATGCTAACTTAGCCCGCTGAGCAGCAGTGCACTCATGTGGTCAGTAAGCGTGTCAGTGTCCTGACTGTCTGTTTTCAAACGGCTCAGACAACACTTCCATGCAGTGATTACAGAGTGAGGAAACCCCAGGCTGATGTGGGTTAGCTTTGCCTGGTTAGCCATAAATGCTACCACCAAAACACATTTCAAATCCTCCACAACAGTCAAAGCTACTGACACGACAGACACAAATCTATGGAGAATTAAAAGGAATTGGTGAAAAACCAAGTCATGAGGTCACGAATGCCACATCAGGATGGAGGATAAAACCACGAAGAAGAGAAACAGAGACGAGCAAAGAAAGTTCACAGCCAAGAAACAACACAGTCACAGTCATGACATGAAACCATCGTGGACACTTTGGTCAAAACCAAAAGTACTGAAGTGTTTTTGGTGAACTTCATGTCACTTGAAGTAAAACATCAAAGTCTGTCACCAGACTAATTACTGTTGTCCACAGAAAAAGACATCAGAGTTCTAGAGATTCTTCCTGCTAGGTAAAAAAACCAAGATGGACGCCAATGAGAGAGCCTTTTCACCTGGCTGACTCAGAATCAGCTGACAAACCAAACAACATGTGACATTTGCCAACAGTAATTTACAGCCACCATCAAACAGCACAGCCAAAAATAGGAAAAATCACAGCCGTCACTTACCATTGACATCGGCTCCAAGCTTCAACAACTCACCCAGAGTTTAGAGGCTTCCATCAGAATGCCGCCATCTTGGAAATTTAAAGGAATGCCCACTTTTTAGGTGGGGGCCAATAGTGTTCCTGATCAAAGCTGACCACACCCTGGCTGGGTTTTTTTTTTTTTAATTATTTCTTATATTAGACATTAGATTGACTCATGTTATAAAAAGAGCAGTTAAACATCAGATTGACTCATGTTATAAAAAGAGCAGAATGTTATTTCACAAATAAAACCTAAAATACAGGACATGACAATATGTATATTAAAAAATAGGAGTGTAGATGGGAAGATTTTGGATGCAAACCTACTGGCCAATAAAGGTACTGCAACCAAAAATTCAACAAGGCTTCCATGAGACTGAAAGTGGCTTTGTTTATACCTTGGTTTAAACTGAAAAAATAACATGACTAAAATGGCAAAATAAATTGCATCTCTACTGTAATTTGAATTAATTTTATTTATTTATTTTAGAAAAAAATGAGGCAAATGTACATTGGCAGTTTAATAATCCAAAGATACACTATTTACACAAACATACAGATTTAAACATCACCCATCAGAAAAGAAAGTGTTATTTATTGCCTGAGACGAGACTGTGACAAATGTAGTAACATTTCACTCCACCACCGATCTGGATCCTGCTGTCACAGCTGGTACTGAAGTGTTCTCCCTGTCTGAGTCTGTCTGTGAGAGTCAAGGCTGACCAGCAGTGATAGTGTCCATACATTCCCATCTATGCCTCACACGTCCAGGTGAAGACTCTGCCCCAGGCATCGCCAGCTAACAGAGTAGCATGGCTCCTACACAGGAGACAGTGACAGAGAAATTTTTATTTTTTTATGTAAATATACAGCAGAACACTCAGAAAATTAAAAAAAACTTCCTGGACTGTTGTTTCCATGTCACTGTACCTGGACATAGCCAGAGCTGTAATGGCCGGGTTTCGTCTGGAGGGTCGTTGTGACATCACCTGACTTCTGCTCAGCTCTCGACACAGCACCAGACGTCTCTCCCAGCATTTATCCCTGCGTGTGCTGTTCACTGTGGACAAATCACAATAATGTGTCACCCCCCATCCTTTAGTCCTGTCTGTAATTTTTTAACCAGCAGGTTTATACACACACAGAGAGAGAGAGAGATACAAAAAAACAAATTACCTCTGCATTAACTCGGTGTTTATCTGCACTTAGCAGGTTGTTAAAAAGTATGAAAAAAAAATCCCCTAAAAATAAATGCTTCAGTGTTACGTAAAGACTTGTCTCGATGTAATTTGCGAAGCATAATACTCCTGTGAGGTGATGTGAGGCTGTAACCAACGTATGCCAAATTGGATCTGGGTATTATTGCTTTCTAAATTATACACGCGCACACACGTCAGCAGAATTACTCATCAGTGTTTACTGCCTCTATGTTTAATAAGTTTTTAACAGCATCATTTCAGCTAACCCTAACGCTGGTGAGAGATGGGTAAATATTACAATCTCTCATCTGTAAACCATCCTGTCTAGCTCTGAGACGAGCGGTTTATAAATAATCGTCGTACACCTCAGGAATGATCTGATTAAAGACGGACGCCTTCCTTTAAGAGACACGTGTGTAGTTTCCTCGCAGCCTGTTACAGAGTTGTGCCACTGTTAGCCTTTCCCGTTGTTTTTTTGTTTTGTTTTGTTTAAACACAACATCTCCACGCTGATCCCGTCCTACTGCCAGCAACATTACCGTCTCTCTCCGCTCGGTCTTGCCCTGGGGACACGGGCTCTTCTGGAGGGCCAGGTAATTGTGTTGCGGTGTACTCCGTCTTCCATATCTGTATGAGAGACACATAACGAGTCGCAAAATCAGACATAATTCAACATAATAACAAAACACACACACGCACCAGTACTCACACACACACACAACTCAAAGTAATAATAAAGTAATAATAGCATTTGTGTGTGTGGCACGGACACGGAGTGAAGCCTAATTTAGACTTTTACAGCTTTGATTGCACAAAAGCAGCGATGGTTTATATTAATCCTGCACAGAGACAGTCAGTCAGGCGTACAAACCCTGGTGCTGTTATTAATACCTCGATGGACATGCAAACAGCCACCAGCCGGGGCCGTGTCACTGTAATGACTGCCACAGTTGAACACTGTACAGTGTAGTGTGTAATGATTTATAACATCCACTAAAAAACTTGCTGCGCCGCAACTGAGGGAGAAATCCATCATTTGTTTGTTTGTTTTTTGGCCAAGCTTTGACTAAATCTTTTTATTTTCTCCTCAGATGCCGTTCTATTGTTCATTTGTTTAGATTATTGCAGATAATTACAAACTGGAAGCATTTTCTAACTGGAAGAAAAGCAGGCTGAACTTCATCAGGTCTCACAAGAACATGTAGCATAGAGCTGTGGAGTTACTTATCTTTCACATGAATGGGTGAAATAAATAGAATTAAATCCAGTTGCAAATAATCATTCATTTTTCACACATGACAGCTATTAATGCATTTATACTAATGTTGCAGTACATTTGCAATGATGTTTTGTTTTTTCTCAGTCATTTTAAAAACATCACCTGCATGACACCGTTGGTACAACCGGTAACAATGACATTCCTGGAATCCCACTCGTGTCTCTGACTGAAGCAGACACACAGGATATCTGCCCGAGGCCCTGAGGAAGTGTCGCTGCTGCTCAACAGCTGACCCTTCATGGTCCACAGGTAGAGCTCAGGCCCCGCGCATGAAGCAATTTCACCCTAGGATGAAAACAACATTGTGATGACACCAAGATTTCACAAAAACACACGGTAGAAAAAGAGGATGTACGTGCTGTCAGCTGAAAGACTCCGCCCTTCCTCACACTGTGGGAAAGACTCACTGTGAGATCGTTGATAGCCAGTGCTGAGATGCTGTTCGTGTGACCCGTTAACTGTGTGATGTAGCTCAGCTCCTCCAAGTCCCACAGGATACAGGTGAGGTCACAGGAGCCACTGACGACCATGTTGTGAACCTCCGACACCGCCAGACACGTGACTGAATCTGTGTGACCGTATAAAGGCTGCAAAGACAAGAAGTCAGCGGAATTCTTTCAACTTCCTTTAGATGCTTTTTTTCCTGCTGGTATCAATTATATTTAAGATACATTAGCATTTGAAAGATTTTATCATATTGTAGTATCAAGAAAATTTGAACTTACTTTAGGTTTTTATTTTCTGATGTTTACTTGAATTTTCCCCAGTATATAATGTAAAAGCTAGTTTCTGCCTCACCATTATATATTAGTATATTAGCTATTAGTATAAATATTAGAGCTAACTTTTAGGTATTGCAAGGGTTAACTTTACTTATCGTTCAGTATTTCAATTTGTGTTTTGTTAATTTTTTAACTACTTTGTTGTTGACAACCAAAATGTTTTAACATATATTTTGACTCATTTTAGTATTTCTCTGCTTAAGGTTCGGTCTTCTTTGTTTGTTTAAGCTAACCTATAACAAATAAGTAGCCACAGAAACATTTTCCTTTCACTACTTTGGCTGATTTTGATCAAATTATTAGCTGTTTTTAGCTATACCTTTTAGCTACTTCTAAAACGTATATTTCTAATTATAGAGATTTTTTGTGCCTCACCTAAAGAATCACCTTAGTCTTTTTTGTGCAACAATTAAATATTAAATTCTAAAAAAATGTTCCAGTTTTTTTCTGACATCTAAAGCTAAAACACTTGATCATTCATGTTGTTGTGTAGCTTGGATTAGCATTCACCAGTCAGACATGGCCAGGGCTCATTATCACATCATCAGTCACATTAAAGGCCTTGATAATATGAATGTATAGGTCATTAATCAAAGGACCAACACACACACACACACACACACACACACCTTTCTGAGTTTCATGTGTGTGAGTTTATCCTTGGCGACAGTTACTCTCCACACACACACCACGGTGCTGGTTCCGGCTGTGATGACTGTCGTGGAGTTAGGACAGGCCGCACACAACGTAGTTCCCCATCCGCGCAGACCCTCGGACACTGCAAAGATCTGCAGGGGGACATGAAGGACAAGACCAGCGATGAACTGTCGCAGGGTTTTCATCATTAAACTAGAGTGAGTACATATCCTGTTTACATATCCAATTTAAAAGATATAGAACTTGATCATTGATTCTGATGCAAACCTTCTCTGTGACGTAGTTCCCAAAGGCACAGCTGTTGTCAGGAGACCCCCAGCTGAAGAAGCAGGAGGACGAGGGCGACAGGAGGAGACGGTTCTTCTCCAGCACCAACACCTCTTTTTCCAGACACAGTATTTGACCTACTGGGCCTCTCCGTAGCTCTGCAACGGGATGTAAGGTGAAGTTGTGAATGGAGCACCATGACTTAAAAGTTATGAAAGAAAGTAACTCAGCTAAAGCATACATGGTCATAAAAAGTCTTGCTGAAAATAACAAAAAAACAAAACAAACAAAAACAAAACAGTGACCTCATTTCCTGCCTTTTCCCTACCTGAATAAACTTGCTAGGCCAAATAAGGGTAATAGCTGCTCAGAAACATCACATTAAAGAGTTTTGTGGCCGAGCAAACTTGTAAAGAATTTCATTAAATTGACCACGGAAAGGTGGGCAATTAAAACGGCGACTCCAGGGTTTCAGGAGTCTGAGCAGAGCCGGGTATCTACAGGGACACCTGCTTCCTGGACGCTGCAGCTTGTCTGTGCATGAGCGTGCATGATGCAATGCTGTAATTGTGCCCATAATTGACCTGTACATGCAGGAGCAGGCAGAAATCATTACATCCTTTCAGCGGTTCCTGCCTCTAAAGTCCCCAGAAAGCAGCGGTGTCTGCATTAGTCTCGGCGTTCCTCCTCCTATTCATCTCTATCTGCTTATTGATCAGATCAGACACTCTAAGATTTAATATGAAATGTAATATGCAGGAATCTCTCCCTGAGCATTCGCAGATTCATCTTTTCTCCCTCAGTGGGCCTGTAGGGATATTCAGATTATTAAGTAGGGCTCAGCAGAAGAGTCATCTCCATATCGTAGCTCTAACAGATACCTCCACTCTGCCACAGTGTAAATTAATCTATGGGCATCCTCACTCTGTTTCAACGATTCTCCTGAGAGCGGCAGCATCTAGTATATAATAATTGACACCAAACGGTGTGAAATAAAATAGAAGGGCAACAATACACAGCAGAGCCAAATGCAGATGACTGTAATTGATTGAATTTAGTTTACTCAGCAGAAAAAAACACAGTTGATTCAGTACTTGGGAAATATCTCTTGATTGTGAGGCTTTATTGTGATATATTAATAATTTTCTTTTTCCACGTTGGCTGGGAGTATGTTAAATATGAAGCTACAGTCAGCAGCTGCTAAAATCTGCTGAGAATGAAAACTGGGACAGAAGAGAGTAAGTGGGCCGGGTATTAAGATGTACTCCAGATTTTTATGTACAGAGTAAATAAAGTCTTTAACTCTCAGTGTTTGTTTTTTGGTTTGTTTTTTTACCAGACAAACACCCAGATAACCCCCTTGAAGAAGAGAGCAGACTTAAATAAAATTAAAATAAATAAACAAATAGATAATGTGACACTACAGTTATTAATATTAATAATAATATAAAATAAATAAAAATATAATGTGACACTAATTAATAATAATAATAATATAAAATAAATAAAAATAAAACCTAAATTTTGTAATTTCAGAACAAATCATACTAACAGATAATGTTTCTGCTAAGTTTTTATTTTTAGGGCATTTGATTGTAGAAGTTTTCTATTATTTTTTTTTAAATAATAAAATACATACATATTTATTTATATCCAATGCTAAACTGTTAGTATAGTGTAGATTGTTGGTGCAATTTTTTTTATAGAATTTCTCTCCAGCTCTGTAAGAATGTAGTGTTCTTCTAGATTGGTTGCCTACGTTCTGGGAAATGAAGACACTAAAAGGTCATTTATAAAATGATTTCCTCCTCCTCCTCCTCCTACAGTACGACTGTACCTCTGAACGTCTGTACTGAGGTCTTTAGTTTGTCCAGTCGAAAGAAAAACGGAGTTGGATGAGGTGTCGATGATCCATCTTTTTTGGAGCTGAAGCGGGGTGGATGTGGTTTGTTGAAAAGCTATGGGAAAAAAACAAGACGAAGCACAAGAAAACTGCTGTTTTAAAGGATTTAATTCACCTACGAGTCACTCATTATTTTGTTCTACTCACCTGTTTGGGGACCTTGCCAAAGTTGCTGATGTATCCCAGCATTGTGTTCCTTATGAGTGGGTCCTTAGGATTGGGTTGGCGTTTATGGACGTAGAAGTAAGGGTGGAAAGTGTTCAGACTTTCTACAGCGGCTGGACCTTGTTGCTTAAACCCAAAAATGAGGTTGATCCACTGGTGGAGGTGATGACTCACATAGTCACTTTCCAAGGCCTGTGGTGAAAAAGTGCACAAACTAAGACCTCCTATTCAAGTAACATAAAAAAAAAAAATCCTCTTAAACACACGCCGTGCAGCAGGGCAATTAAGCCGTACAGGAGTGTGCAGCTCCTGCTGTTATTACAGTGAGACCAAGACCATCGGTCAAACAGTTAGTGACAATTAAGAAACACCCAGAAACTTCTAGAAAGCTGAAGAACCAATCAGATTACACAGGAACTATGATTCCTACAGAAAGTCAATTTCAGCGTCCAGAACAGGAGCGGCTGCACGGCGGTGTTATGAACATATCATCATGTTAGAATTAGAGAATGATTTGTGCAGAAACACACAAAGAATGGTTCTGAGGAATTAATAAGAAAAAACCTAGACGTTATGACCACACGGTCTTAATGAACCCGTCCTGGAATAAACAAACACTGAGCAAAATCATCACAAAGATAGATTGTCCTGGAGTTAATTTGTCCAAGACGGGGGAAAAGAACAACCCACAATCATCTGAAGTCACTAATTTTATAAGAATGCAAGGCAATATGAGTAGTTCAGTAGATTACAGAGTGATAAGCATCGTAACAGCCTCAGGAGAGGAAAAGAGGAAAAATCTGAGGGGAGTCAGAGGAACACCATCAGCTGCATCCCGCATGTGGAATGTGATGAATAAAAAGAGTGGAGAAGAAAAAAACCCGGAGATGATTCAGTCTACAGACGGCTGTCAGAGATAAAGGGCCAATGAAAAACAAACGGGTTTTTGTCTCCACTGCCTCTTATCTGACTTCTTTAATGCATTTGTATTTGATAACGACAACAACGGCTCTTTATGTGTGAGAGCCAGTCCGTACTGAGAGAACCAACCTCCCATTAAAGACGAGAACACATGAGACAAGTATCTGTTGACAACAACAATCTATCTCTTATACTGCAAGAGGGAAAAAAAAGAATGGCAGCGACTAAGTACATCAACCCTCACTTCACTGAAACACTGCAGTTTTACTGCATGTACATCAGTCAGTACTGACGAACGTTATCAGGCCTTAAGGGAAAGAACACTGTGTGGAGAAGACCACTCTTTTTACTGTGCTGATGCAATAGACAAGGCAGGATGAAGTGAGGATGAGATGGGTGGGTGAGTGGGGTCATGACCTCTCGATGGATTCTAATGAACTCCTGGGGGTCGCCTTTCGCCCACGGTGGAAGCTCAACGTCACCTAGAACGGTACCGTCCTCCATGCAGCCTGTGGAGACGTAGGTATGAGTTCAGGCAGGAGAACATGATGGGTAACACTCCATCACACAGACACACACAGACACACACACACAAATACTCTACACGTTTGTATCTAATCCATCATTTAGACGAGTTCTATGAAATGAAATGTTACACTTACAGGTTTATGCAGGAATTGCCGTAAAATAACGGTAGAAATATAATTTCAAAAAGTAAACTCATTGGGTGGAAATGTTATCCAATGAGGAAAAAGTGAGCCAGTAGGTGGCAGTAATGAAATAATAATGTCAATAAAATTGACATCAACTGAAACCCAAAGAAAAGTGAGTGATGGGGGAGGGATAGGATCAGCTTACAGCAGAGAAACTGCTATTTATTCTGGGTTTCAGTCTGTGGTTTAAAGACCGGGGGTGGAGAGAGGTTGATGTTTTAAAAACATATGATTACCACTATGTTTGTACGTAGGGAATTTTAACTATACCACCCCCTGCAGGGCACAGGGATGAAGGGCGAACATGTGTTTTGATTCTGATCTGTCATCAAATTATTTTGGCTGCCACTTCTTTTAAAACAGTTTGTGGAACAAAACAGGAAACTCGTGCTCATCTATGTCAGCTGTATCCAAACTTTTTTAAACTTCACACATGAGAAAGGAGGAACACTCAACACATTCTATTTAGACCTGGAGTAATTAACAAAACACATGCATTCATTTAAAAACATTTTGGAACAATTTTAAATTTTTGGTTATGATTTAAGAAACATTTGTCCTGAGGCTGAATCATTAAGAACCAGAGACCACAGGGTGTCAGGCAGATAAAGGAGAATAACTTAACTGTATTCTTTGTTCCTTCCTGATTCAAACTCATTTTAAGAGTAAAAACACTCTTTGAGTCACTAATTTAGATACATATAGGGGGCGCTGTTAGATCCTGACCTAGTGGTATGTTGTTGGAGTTTAGCAGGAAGTCCGGCAGGTAGAAGAACTCTGGGATCAGCTCTCTGACGTCTCCCATGTTGTCTCTGGAGGCCGACGCCCACTCCGACTTCACACTGTAAAACATCCGCTCTGCGATGTCGAAGCCTCCCTGTGGAGGAGCGCACACACACACACACACACACACATAAACATTTGGAGCTACTTTGAAGAAGCTTTTCATCTTTCTATAAAACTGCATAATCTATGGAGGAAATCTCATGAGGGAGAATCTAATTTAGTGAAAAAGAATTACTTTAATGAACAAAAATTACATATATAATGGTGAACTTGATTAGAGGTGTAAATGCAGTTATGGATATTACCACACACACTACTTGTGTGTGTGGTAATATCCAGAAGACAAAAAGGCAGAAGACTAACATCTTTATTGCTTTATTCTCACGACCAAACGCTGACTCCTGGAATGTCTGTCTGTTCTAATGAATTGGACGGTGCAGCCTACGTTGTGGCGTCTGTTGCTTGTTTTCTTATTGTATTTATTTACATACATATGAAAACTTCAGTTAATCTGCTTCTGAAGCCAAATCAGAACTAAAACAGGATCAGTACAGTCCATCAGAAAATGTGTTTGTTGGTTTGATTAATTAAATATATATATAT